TGTAACAAACTGTATGAATCTTTGCCATTGTATGTGATATTGACCTGACTTTTAAACTGCTTAGGTGAAATCTTGCCAGCCCTTGAACCTCATAGGCCTCCACAGAAGATTCAGAAAATAGGGTGAGATTGACAGTAATGACGTTCTCAACATCAAGAAAAGTCTGATAAGCAGAGGGTTATTTGCATCCATTTGCTTGGACAAGTATGTCATTATTACCTGACCTTGTTACATTGATGTGCGATTTTCCATTCTCCCACCAGTCAGATAGAAAGTAGACAGCGACAATTCCTAACATGATACTCAGAGCAGTAAACTGGTGACTCCAGCTTATCGCTTGCTCCCTCTGTTTTCCATCTTGGATAGCAGCCACCAAAATCTCAGCCGGGGCAGTGGGCATGTCAGCCCCCTGCAGGCAGGGGAGTGGGGTTTGTCCACTAAAATCAGAGCTGGGGTGGGGCGTTATCTGAGGTCACTACTGCAGGAGGGAAGTTGGGGAAATCAGTTGTGGTTATTGGAGGTAGCTATGCTAGGATGCAGATATGGAGAGTTGAACATGGGGGCTGGGGGTGTCATTGACAATTAGCACTACCCTAGTCCAATTGAGATAGGCTGGAGGGGGTCAGTGGACTACTGTGTCTCACATGGTGATGCTATGTGCCCTGACACTAGGGGGTAAAGTGGGGAAATTATTAATCAAATAAAAGGGTTGGGTAGGAGCGTAGATAAGATCAAAGGCTACAGGGATGACAGGGAAGGCAACCACCAAGGGAATATAAAGATTTGGTGGATCGTCTAAACTGCAAGGCTGAGTCTGTGACTTGCCCGTGAAGCATGATCACTGTTTCCTTCAATTCCAATCCAAATTGCACCATGAGACCATAAGATACAGGAGCAGAATTATGGCATTCAGACCATCAACTCTGGTCTGCCATTTCATCATAGCTGATATCTTTCTTAAACCCATTCCCCTGCCTTCTCCCCATAACCTTTTTGATCCCCTTACCAATCAAGAATGTATCTCTGTCTTAAATACACTCAATGACTTAGCTTCCACAGCTGTCTGCAACAATGCTTTTCACAGATTCACCACCCTATAGTTGAAAAAAATTCCCCCTCATCTCAGTTCCAAAGAGTTGTTCCTTCATTCTGAGGATGTGCCTTTGGGTCCTAGTCTGTTCTGCTAGTGGAAATATTTTCTCCATGTCCGCTCTATCCAGGCCTCTCAGTGTTCTGTAGGTTTTGATCAGATCCCCCCTCAATCTTCTAAACTCCATCGAGTACAGACCCAGAGTCCTCAACTGCTCCACATATGACTAGCCTTTCAGTCCTTGGATTATTCCTGTAAACCTCCTCTGAACTCCCTCCAATGTCAGTGCATCTTTCCCTTAGATATGGGGACTAAAACTTCACACAATATTTCAAATGCAGTTCTGACCAGAGCCTTATACCATCTCAGTAGTATATCTCTGATCTTGTATTCTAGCCCTCTTGAAATGAATGCTAACGTTGCATTTGCCTTCTTAACTGCCAATTGAACCTGCATATTAACCTTAGGCAGATCCTTAACATGGATTCTCAAGACAGAAGACAGGAAACTATAGGCTGGATAGTCTGAACTTGATTATTGGTAAAATTTTAGCACCGATTGTGGGGAGGCAATGGCCTAGTGGTATTATCGCTGGACTGTTAATCCAGGGACCCAGGGACCCAGGTAATGTTCTGTGGACCTGGGTTTGAATGCCACCATGGCAGATGGTTGAATGTGAATTCAATTAAAATATCTGGAATTAAGAGTCTAATGATGACCATGAATCCATTGTTGATTGTCAGAAAAACCCATCTCGTTCACTAATGCACTTTAGGGAAGGAAACTGCCATCCTTACCTGATCTGGCTGACATGTGACTCCAGACCCACAGCAATGTGGTTGACTCTTAACTGCCCTCTGGGCAATTAAAGGATGGGCAATAAATACTGCCTAGCCAGCGATGCCTTCATCCAATGAATAAAGGGAAAAAAATTATCAAGGATAAGATTGCAGAGTACTTGGAAATGCATGGTAAAATAGGGCTGTGTCACATGACTTTGTCAAAGGATGCCTGACAAATCTGTTGGAATTCTTTGAGGGGTTAAGAGCAGGGCAGTCAATGACCTAGTACTATTATCGCAAGATAATAATTAAGGTACCCAGGCTATGTTTTGGGGATTGGCATTCAAATCCTGCCAAAGCAGATGGTAGAATTTGAATTCAATAAAAATCTGGAATTAAGAGTCTAATGATGACCATAAAACCAAAGCCAATTGTCGGAAAGCCCATGTGGTTCATAAATGTCCTTTAGGGATGGAAACTACCATCCTTACCCGGTCTGGCCCACATGTGACTCCAGAACCACAAAAATGTGGTTGACTCTTAATTGCCCTGTAGGTACTTAGGGATGGGCAATAAATGCTGGCTCAGCCGATGATATCTACATCCTGTGAATGAATACAAAATAACTACATCCCAGTACAGTCCTGGGGTCTGCAGCTGGGGTGGAGGGAGCCAGCCGTATAGCAGAGCCCCTTAGCCTTGGCATTTTTTTTTGGTTGGGTGACCCCGGGGGCATTTGGGTCTGGAAGGTCCAGACATGCTGAGTGTGTCCTGAGGGTAGTAGCCAGGAGGAAGGTGGAAGGCACTCTCCTATCCTCAGGGAGTGGGGGAGGTCTCTCCATGATTCCTCCACCAACTGGGTGCCTACTAGCACCACGCTCTCTCATCACAGAATGAGGTCAAGGTCCCTCGACCCCCTGATACTGAGCACTAATAGCATGAGTAAAGGACTGCCAACCTGTGCCCACACTGTGCTGGAAACAAAACAGAAGTTGCTGGAAAAGCTCAGCAGGTCTGGCAGCATCTGTGAAGGAAAAAACAGAGTTAACGTTCCAGGTCTGGTGACCCTTCCTCAAAGCATTGTGCTGCACTTGACTCTCTACGGTAGCCAGGCACTTGCATGCCAGAGGCAGCATGGTGCAAACAACAATGATGGCATCCTCCAAATTTTGTCACAGTTTGCCCAGTACCTCTGACAATTCCAGCTGCTGCTTGTGCCCTTGCAGGAAGTTCTGCTTGCTGACACCATGGGTTTCTCTCCTGCTTGGGGCTGAGCAGGTGCCTAGTCTCCAGCAGAACTCTTAAGTGCCAGTGACCTGAGGAGTTTCTTTCTCAGAGCTGCAGGGATGTGGCAGTGATGTGTTCCTGACTCTAATGCAACCAGCAGTAGTGGGAGAGCAGTACATCAATAGGCAATGAATCTTACTTCATGGCATCATCACAGGAACATTCGCAGTCCTTATGAGTCAGAAAGTAAAGTCCTCTCCTCACATGTGGTCAGGAGATGGATGTCAGTCCCCCCTCAGGTGTCTTGGCTGTTCTTGTCCTACTGTGCTCATTTTGTTCTGGGATGCAACAAAAGGAGGGATTGGGTGAGGTGAAAATGGATGTTTGTGCTGGCACTGGTGGGAGAAAGGTAAGAAGGTGTCCGGAGTGAGTGAAAAGGTAGCACAGAGGGCACACAGAGTTATTATTGAAAGACAAGATGTTGCATGCTACTGTGAGAGCGTCGCCAATGATCCTCGTTGGGAGGTGAGTGCAGTAGCAGAGTTAGAGGGACTGTGAGGTAGTAGAGAGGAGATGGTGATGTTTACCCTAGCAGAGCAGTGAAGATCACCGACCTTCTCACAGTGCTACTGCCTGTTTTCTGGACTGCCAACACTGCACTGATCCTGATGGTAACCTCAGGCCAGGCTGGTGGGTCTGGTAGTGCAATATCCTCTGCACCACCCCATCCACCAGGACAGCCTGTTGTGGTGACAGAATTCCACTGTCTGCTCCCTCTGGGGCAATTTTTCACCATGTGGGGTACTTGCAGACTGACGGCACCTGACCTGGAAGACAACTGCATGTTACAAATGGTGCTGGCACCAGCAATCCCAGGGGTCTTGGCTGTAGCGGGTCCTTTGGCCTGTGGCAAGCAGGAATATATGATCGTCAGTGGACGGGGTCGTGTAGGTATATGGTGCATAGCTAATGTGATGGGTTTTGGGGAATTGTGTGAGAAGCCTTTCTAGGGGTCACAGAGAAATTCTCCACAAAAATTGACAAGACTGATCCTTAGCTGGTCTCTGCTAAAATCCAAGCCCATATCTTTAACATCAGCAACACCAGCTATTTCCAACAAAAACAGAAAGTGCTGGAGAAACTCAGCAGCTCTGGCAGCACCTGTAGAGAGAGAAACAGAGTTAACGTTTCAAGTCCACTGACCCCCTTTGTCAGAATTACCATCTCTTTCCAGCTGTGGCACACTGTCCCTGAAACTGTTGCCTGTTCCTTGTCACCCCCAGATTGTGGAAGAGACGCCTATGCTCCATGAAAAGCGCATGTCTAAAACATAGCAAACCTTAGCCTGTTTTGTACTTGATCCTAATTCACCCAGTAGGACACTGGGCACTGTCCTGCAACATGGTAAAAATTGAAACAACTCCAATCTTATCAAATTCCTTCAGGGTCGTGTCCCATTCTGACTCGGCAATGTCCTGCAAGTCAAATATTATCTTCTGTGGCCCCCAAAATTTCTCAGTTCAAGATTTCTTGAATACAACTCCCTCCCTTTACCAGCGCTCAGGCCCTTGGTGGCAACGGTTCTATTTCTCATACCTTCCCATCCTCTGCTTTTTGAAAATCTTCTCTGAACTCAGCAGGGTTTTCTCGATTTTGGTCATACCCAGTCAACATCCCCAACTAACAAACGTCTCCTGGCAACGTCCAATTTCGAAGACTCTCGGGATGTTTCCTTTTGTAGTTACACAAAATTCAAAGAACATTTTTCACACAGCTAATGCCTCTTTAAATGCTGCGATCATCATGCACATAGTTATTTCCTCCAGGAAAAAAAAGTGTCAAATGATGTCAAGATGTTATGTTAAGTTTAAAATACAGTACGACAGTTCTAGGTTTCTTACCTAAGTCGGTGTAGTTTTCAGCAGACTCTCCAACGCCACACCAAAGGGTACCAGGAAATATCAAAGCCCGGCGGCTCCGCCTGACTCCTGGCCGATGGTCCTGGAGGAATGAGGATTCGCCCGGGGTGTCGAGTCTCCCCATAGGAGCACGGGGGGCGTTCCGCCTTCCCCGTGAGGGCCAGCCTGGAGACGCCGGGTCAGCCCAAAGCCCACGGCCAGCGGCAGAGGGCAGCGGGCTGGAGCAGTTGACAGCCCACTGCTCCGGGTGTCGCAGGGCCATGTCCAGGCGGGAGTCCCACTCTGGCAGGAAAGCACCGGTGCTCAGTGGCTTGCCCTGCTTCTCAAGACAAAAGGCCAGGTAAGTGCTAGTGATAGTCTCCTCCTCCCAGAAGATGCATTGCTCCAGCTGACCCTGCCAGCTCCAGCTGGTTTGGAAGAGGACTAATCTATCGTGGAACCCTCGGAGCCGGGCTAGGAAACTTAAAGAGTGGGCCGAATGGTCACTGGCGACCAAATGGCACAGAGACCTATCTCTCTGGGATAAACCCACCAGCCAGTCCCTGGGCAATGTCTCATGCCTTCCTTGGATCAGAGGGAAATATAACAGGCAGAACAACCCTCCACTGAGAAGCATGCTGTAGGTTTCGCTGCTAAATACACGCGTGCACACAGTGAGATGTGAACGAACGTAAACCATCAGGACAAATGGTTAAATGCTTCCATCGGCGCCTGCTGGGGCTTGTTTTATTGCACGGCAAATGAGAGGGTGTGCCGGTTTTAGTTTCTGGGCAGGGAGGGCGTGCCTCTAATTTTAGCCCTGCCCCTAGCTCGGATTTTGTCTCTTCCTTTACGGACACCTGTCCTTTCCTTCCCTGAAAACCCTCGAACTGTTCTCGATCCATGGCCCCGAAGCCAACAAATTCAGGGTTAGTGTCCCCAACACGCCAGCAGGTGGGGAGAATGTTTTCCCCAGTGATATTACGTCTCAAAGCGAACACAATTGCAGTGAATTTTAATACCATGTTTTAAAAGGCAAGATTTGAATCGGATTGACTTTTTTTTAGAGAAAACTCCTGATCGTTTGCATTTCATCAGAATTGAACTTCACATGTGGAAAAGATGACGCCTTCGCTGATATTCCACTTCAACATTGTGATAAATCATCCCCGATTGAAATCAACGCTGAACGCACTGGTGTCACCGGTTCCCTCATATTAGCAGTCTCCTTGTGAGATTGGCGCTCGATATAGGTTGTACTGGTTGTCACACTGATGAGCGATTAACAAATTGGGCTGCAAGAATAGAGAATAAAACTTAATCAGAGAAAAGTCCGGAGAAGTCAAACTTGTTTCAAAAGTCAGTGATTCCACAGATCCACTTCTCTTGATAGTACCTTAGCTTTCTTATTTCTAGTCATGAATATTAACAATAATGAGTAGAGAAGGAGGGAAGACATAGAATGCTTGAAGCAAATAGAGATGTATTTGAGGAGAAGGCAGATTAGTACACAACAGCAAGAATAGGTTTTGGACTTAACATGAGATGAAGGTGATGAGAGTCAGAAGCGATCCTTGGGGAGCAACAGACCACTGGGCTGGACAGCCCTTTTTCCATGCAGTCATTCTATGAGGAGTTAAGTCTATGATCATAACTGTGTTGGAGACCTGTGCACATAATCTGGACTGGCAATAGGTAGGGAGTGCTACATTATCAGAGATGCAATGGCGGTATCCAAAGAAAGCCAGTTGAGTTCTCCTAGTCAAGGTTAGCCACTCAAGAAATATTATATTATAAAACAGATTATTTGATTCCTGCCTCATTGCCATTTGTGAGACCTCGCTAGGTGTGAATTGACTGCTGCACTCTACATGTCAACAGTCACCACAAAAACATAGTTATAAAGTGTATTAGAATGCCTTAAGGTCATGAAAAGTGCTACAGAAATGTAGATCTTTTCTGAGCAAGTGAACAGCATAGATTTTACAACCCAGAAGTTCTTCTGACCACCAGCAGGAAGGGACCAGGAGCCAGGGACATAGGAAATACTAAATAGCTGAATGAGAAATATATACTCCAACTCGCTGTATTTTAGATGATCTGATGTGTTTGTTAAAAATTTGGAATGGCAGATATGCACTGTGAAATCCTTTCACTTTATAAGTAATAATTTAAAACATTTAAAACATTTTAAACATTTCAATATGGGGCCAAAATTCAGTGGGTGTTCACACAGCCTTCAGTTGATGACAGCAAATGCCTGATCAACAAGCAAACAGTTCTTTCTTAGAGTTTTCAACTTGCTCTTTGAGCAATAGAAGCTCTGTCTGCCTCTTCCAAAATAAATGTTCTTGGGGAGTACATTGAAGGGTGCACATCCTACATACTAGCAAGAGTCTATCAGTATTCAGATTATTTTTACAGGTCATAGGCTGAGTGAGTCTAGGTGTTCCAATCTCAGGATGGACGAAGGTTGACTTCAACTGTGGCCTCCTGGACAGGGAAAAGTCCTGAGGCAGTAAGTGATGTTTGAATCGTCTCAGTTTTCCCAAGGTGATTTGAAGGCAGGACCACAAGCAAACCTGAATTTTGCGAGCATCATGGTGATGGGCTGATGCCCTCTGGGATACCAAAATGATTTCTTTAAAGACCATAAAATTCTGCCTGAAGATGGCAGTTTTTAAAAACATTTATACTTATTGGAGTCTTTAAGTGAAGCCTGAAGGACATTCTTGGAGCCATGGACAACACACTAAATTGACCATTTCCAGAACAGAACAGAACAGTCTTTCTTGCCAATTGTCTATCTGCAATGGACATATTCTCCCACTGACACTGCAGACTCCAGCAGGGTCAGATCTAGAGTGTAACAGTGGACACTAATCTGCAATAATCATCAGGATCTCGTCTTGCGAAATTTCCATTAGAATCATAGAGTCATACAGCACGGAAACAGACTCTTGTGTCCAATCGGTCAATGCCAAATATAATCCCAAATGAAACCAGTCCCACTTGCCTGCTCCTCGCCAATATCCCTCCAAATCTTTCCTATTCATGTACTTATCTGAGCGTCTTTTAAACATTGTAATTGTGCCCACATCCACCACTTCCTCAGGAAATTCATTCCACTTGCGAACCACTCTTTGTGTTATTGCTATGCTCTCTGACTTGATATTAAAAATGGATCATTTGGAAATGATTTCACTTTCACTTCATCAAAGTTCTTACTTTGTTGAAACATTACAGAAATATTGTAGCCTTAACTTGTCAGGCATTTTTCTATCAGTCATTGTCTTCCAGATTTTATTCTATGTGTTCATAAAAGTGAACGAAGTTCACCCATTATCGAGGCAATGCTGTTTCTATTACAGGATAGTTGCCAAAAATGTCAATACCTTCTCTTTATTGTACCAAGAACCAAAGATGTCATGTCATGCTCATTAAATTGGACACTGAACTGTCATGGCATTTTTGTTTTATGTACTCCATTTAAGTGAATAAAACATCAGTTAAGCTCCTGCATCTGCCTCTCCATTGTCTGTTATACTGTCCTTCCTCGTTAATTTCTTTCAGTCATGGTTTCTCAAGCTGTTGCCAATAGAAGTAGTCTCACTATTATCTTTAATGCCATGCTGTGGAAAAAAGATAAAGATAAATATTAAAGCACAAAAGATGCCCAAATAGGACTGTTTCCACATTAACATGAATTAGTAAAGAATGATCAGCAGCATAATATGTTACGAGCTCTGTGTTCCCTTATGAGACAGAAGCTCACCCTGAGCTATCTCAGACTGTCGGCAATAAACTCAACTGTAAAATAATATGGAAGCACAGTATTCTAAAGTTCTGATAAACTGTCTTCTGATTAAGAGACTGAAATCACAGAACAACATAGTTCTGTTTTTAAGGTAGTAGTTTGACACTGAAATATTTTTGTCTTTAAAAACACATTTTCATATCAGACATACATTTTTTATTTATTTAATAATTGAACCAAAACAACAAATATGTTGGGCCTTGGGTTGAATCAATAAAGCATGTTTCTTCAGCTTTTTGTCTCCTCTCGTAAAAGCAATGACTGTAATTGGTTTGCGGTTCAGTAGAAGGTGTTCATCTTTATGCTTTGACAATGAGCATCAGCAAACTATTTAAGTATGAAGGCACCACAGTCAATTTGAAATGTGCAAATGTATGTTATTTTTATGACAAGTGTAGATACACAGTGATTTGACAGCTACATTTTGGTCTGAATTAGTAAACAATCAGCTGGGATGATGATGGGTATGGAGGTGATAAGTACAAATGGCCCTAGTCATGGAAAGAAAATTCTTGCTCATTGATCACTGATGACTTGTGAAAAGCATATATGTCGCTATCGAGAGTGAACAGGATGAATCAGTGTAGTTGTGATGCAGCAAGGGCTGTACAGCTCGACAACATAGATTAAAATTTCACTTAAATAAGGAAGGTAGAACTGCAAACATTCATAGACCTAAACCCCAGATACTTTCAATATCTCTGGGAGAAGATGAAAGAAAATGGGAGGGGAAAATAACATAATAGGAAGACCACATTCGCGTTTCTTTCAACAGTTTTACACTTTGCCTTCTCATAAGACAAAGATCAGAATTAAGCAGCAAAAGTGAAATATATGGTTTGAAAAGTCCTATCATGGTATAACATATCCTTAAGAAGCTGCAATATGCTTCAGTCAACTGAATACTTTCTGTACACTGGAAATGTGATCAAGTGCAGAAGCACACAGATTGAGTGTTATTGTTTTAAGGAGTCCAAAGTTTGAAGTCCAAACTCCATAGTTTGGAGATTGTGTTTTTAATCTGCTGTTGGGATTGACTTTAAGATGCTGTCAGGGAATAGGTGCTGTCTTGCTCAGAGAGCTGCAGGGCATGTACAGCCCAGACACATCAGGAGCCCTGCTGTAATTCCTGCCTTCAGATACCCTAACTGATGTGAGTATGTTTTGCTAAGTGCAACATACCACAAGCACAGAAGGGGTGGCAACACGTGGAATGTTAAAATGTCATAATCTGCTCAAGAACAATTGCATTTCACTGCAGAGTGCTTTCTAACATGTATCTGATGTTTCTGAATGGAATATGAAACAGATTATAATTTCCCTCTCTCCTCTGTAAATTTCAGGCTGACTATGGTTTTATACATAATAACATGGCAAGCACAGTTCAATATTCCCATCTTGTTCCTTCTTATTTGCAAACAAAGTAGCTAACAGACTCTTTCAAACATCCTCAATACACTAGAATCAAAATTCATTGTGCCATATACCAGCATATTCCTTTCTAGGACTTCAAAAGTATGGTACTCCATTTTTGCTCAGTCGCATCATTTCAATCAATCATTTCCTATCAGACACTAGGGGATGAATGTTAATTTTTTTTTCAACTAAGTGCCAGTTGTGTTGAGCTTTTTGGAGGGCTTCTATCTGTGAGACCAAGGGAGATTTCTTACCGTGTTTTACCAAATGCACTTCATTAAATACCTATCCGATCCCTATGGCTACCCACCTTCTTGCCATTTTCGAGCCCCATTTTACCACACTCCTTTCCTGGAACAACTCACCACAGCTAGAATAGCTCAGGATTGACTGGCACCCCGGTGTCATTTTAAAACACCATTGTAACACAGACAAACACTTATAATTTGGAGCTGCCCTGCCTGGCTCTTGGCATTTGTCTCAAACATGCTTGGCAAGGATAATTTGAGAAGACTGGGCAAACCAAATTTGCACCAAAGGCATGGAGGACAAGTTTGTGAAAGGCATTCAAGATAATTTTCTAGATCTGTATATTGAGGAAGCAACAAGTGCTCTAGCTATTTTAGATCTAGTATTTCGAAAGTAAATGGGTTAACTAGAAACAATGTAGTAAAGGAGGTTCTGGGAAAGACTATACATAATACACCGGAACTTTACATTGAGTTTTGAGAGTTACTAGTTAAGTATAAAACTAGTGTTTAAAATCTAAACAAAGCAAACTGCATAAGCATGAGGATGAAGGTATAATACTGCTGATGCTGAAACAAACACAGAGAATGCAGGAGAAACTTAGCAGATCTGGCATCTTCTGTGGATTATTCAGAAGAAGAATTATACCACATTTGAAACATTAACTCTGTCACTTTCTCCACCGATACTGCCAGAGCTGCTGAGTTTCTCCAATATTCTCTGTGTTTAAGTATGAACATGAGTTGGTTAAGGTAGATTGTGGTAACAGATTAAAATATAAAATAGTAGCTTAGCAATGGCAAGCCAATTACA